CCTTCATTTTTTATTTTATTGGCCATCATTATGACAACTTGTCATATAAGATAGAAACAAGTGACAGCAACAAATGGCTGCTATATTCATTGTCAGTCATGAGAAAATATTGATAATATACAACATTGAAAATCAGTAGGAATGAACATAATGTCAAGAGACCAGATTATAAGTTTTAAAATTGTTGAGGAACCATTTGGTACATTCTAGAAGTTAAATTTAGATAGAAACCTAATGACTTCATGAACCCTTGTTTAGGGTTCAGGGCAAATGAATCTGCTATTAAAAAAAAAAAAAAAAAAAAAATAAAATTTACTTTAGAATAACAAAACAAAAATGTTAAAAAAATATCACTACACATGTCTCTTCGAGCAGTGTTAAACTAATATGATTACAATCATGTAGTGATTTTTAACATGTTTTGTTTAAATATCCTAAAGTAAATAATATTTAGCTCTATTCTGTATTGAGCCCTCTTTTAAATTAATGAACGAACGCAGGAATTATACGCCATTTGTTTTCATTTTACCTGAGATAATAAATAAATATGTATATTTTATCTGTTTATATGTTATTTCAAATAGATACAATTTATTTAAGTAAATGTTCAGTTTTTGTTTTTTTCCTTTAAATAGTCTTAATTAAATTTACCATCATTTGATTTGATGTGCTGTTAACCATTTAGCCACAAAGTGTCGGATTAGCAAAGTCTGAATTACTGTTTGTAAACAACAAATCTTTAACAATCTTTCCTGAATGATCATATCAGCTCATGAAACATAACTTAAACATAACTTAAACATTGACAATATATTATGAAATGGATTAAATCCAATAATTATTTAATATATTTTCTGTTTGTTATTTTTAATAGATACAATTTAATTAAATGCTGTTTGTTGTTATATATATAAAAATGTGTGTGTGTGTGTGTGTGTGTGTGTGTGTCTCTCCAATGATGGAAAAATTAAAAAGGCTTTATCAAAATCTGTTATTAAGAGAAAAGACCAAAATATTTTTAGTCGTTAAATTATATTTTTTAATCCTTTTTAGACCTTCCAAAATCTTGTAAAAATCAAATAATTGTCAGATTTTAATGAAACTTTCAGGATTTATTAACGAATGAATAAAATTATTTTAGAATTTTTTTTTTCTATTTTAAAAATACATGTTACTTCCAACTTATGAAATTGAGAAATTCATTTTTATAGTTATTTAGTTACATGTATATATCCTTAGAGATTTTAAATCATTTACTTTTTTTTTTGTGAAACAGAGCCTCCAGTTACAGAATATCTGCTATGAATTGTAAAATAAAAAATGCAATAAAACCAAGACATTATTTAATTAGAAAAGCTTTTAATTGCTTTTATGAACAAGATATTATGGATATTAAAGTTTTTTTATTTTTTTTTTTTTTAATTTTTATTAGAATAATTTATAAAATTTAAATCTTGTCAAATTCTATTTTAATTTGTACTGGTTAAGTGATATTGTCATTAAGTAAAAACTATATTTTCTAATCATCAGTGAACCCTCCCCACCCCAGTATTTTAAAAATAATTTTGAATTTTTTTTTTGTGTGTATAAACATGCCAATTTTTTGTAAATATGGACATCCATACATGACATTATCAGAAAATAAGACAGATAACTTCTATAGTAAGTACTTAAAATTCAATAAAACATTAGCTTATGGAGAATATGTTTCCTATTTTTTTTAAAAAAATTATATAAAAAAGGTGCACATGTTATATCATGTAATTTTTATGGATATGTTCACCAGTAGAAAAAAAATTAGTTAATTTTTCAAACATCAGGTTGTCAACCCATCATAAAAGAGACACTTCAGTATTAAAAAAGTATTTTAAGCTAAAAGTAATATTTGTTTTAAATCAGATTAATTAAACTTTAAATAAGCTAATCTTCCTCAAATAGAGTTTCAATAAAGTATTTTATTTTTTAAAGATTCTTTAATAAAGAGAGTTATAAATATGGCTAAAATCAGCAATCAAAATATATATGTGAACATTGAAGTAAACACTCAGAGGTGATAGACTGTTTCACAGTAAATGCAATACTCGGGTTGCCTGATGATTGCATTTTTAGCAAGAAACAGTGTCACCTCTAAGTGTTGACTTCAATGTTCACTTTTATATTTACATATGCTCTATCTCTGATATTGAGCAATTTATCCCATGAATAGAATATACCTTAAAACTTTATATATATAATATATATATATATATATATATATATACACACATACAAGTATACGATTGGTGTATACAGAATAAATTCCAATAACCAACAAATGCTATTCTTAAAAGAGTGCTCAATACACAGAGCAAATACAATTATTTATTTGAAAATTATAACAAATATGTTATAAAATCACTACAAAAATAGCCATTTTGTTTCAACACTTCTGGTGTCTTATCAAGTGATGGTGTTGAATGTAGAATAAAGAGTTTTAAAAAGTTCAAATCAATCAAACATCCCTCGCTAAGAGGAAATGCTGTTACATAAGCTTGAATGACCAATCAAAATACAAGTATACGAGAATTCAAAAAACTTGACAATGAACTAAGGTTATAATAATTATTTAATGCTTTAATGTTGGGGGGGGGGTGTTTGATTGATTTGAACTTTTTTAAAACCCTTTATTCTTCATTCAACACCATCACTTGATAAGACACCAGAAGTGTTGAAACAAAATGGCTATTTTTGTAGTGATTTTATAACTTATTTATGTTATAATTTTCAAATAAGTAGTGTATATATATATATATATATATATATATATATATATAGAGAGAGAGAGAGAGAGAGCATGCAGAGGGTTTTCACCTTGGTTGGCAGCCAGTCTAGGACAACCAGATTCAAAATCAAGGCAATCAAAAAACACAAATTTCCCAAGTACAATTTATGGTAACACAGTTTACAGAAATTAAAAAAAAAGATGTGGAGAGCCATGGTCGCCTTCTTGAAGAGATGGCACTTAGAGATAAAAAAAAAAAAACTAAGAATAAATGCATACTTTTTTTTTTTTTTTAAAATGATAAAATTTGACATTCATAATAATTGAATAACTAAGATCCTCAAGGTGGCATATATTAATTAATTTAAAATATGGTTTTTTTCACTACACAGTTCTAACCATATTTCAAAAATGGAAGCTAAAAGCTTCGAATTTAATTTTGTAATTAAAGACATTAGTAAAGTTCCATTTCATCCTCAAGCGAATATCTTACTGTTCTTTCTTTTTATTTATATGCGCATAGAATAAAAAAAGTTATATTTAAAAAAAATTGCGTTTACCATAGATTTTAAAAGGCATTTTCAAATTTAGTTTATAAAAAGAAACTTATGTACGTTAAAAAGTGGTACCCTGATAAAAAAAAAAAATTTAACGTCTACATTGAGGAAAAACTAAAGTATTTTCTGAATATTTTTTCAGATTTTTTAATCCTTCTTACTTAATTATTCAAATACTTTGGTTCTTTTTTAGTCAATGAAATTAACTCTTTATTATTTTTTTTTAATTTCAACAGTGTAAAATTTAACTTCAGGTTTTTTTTTTTTTTTTACAATTTACTTTTAAAACCAATTTGTGAAGGTCACTTGCTAATAAATTTTAGTTACAACATTCAATAATTTATTGATTCTATTAAAAGAAAAGTCGGCAGCATTTATCCAACAATAAGACATTTCTTTAAAAAAATGCAAATTTAAATTTTAAAAAATCGATACATTTAATTTTCTTAAAAAAATTATCACAAGAAAAAAAACTTGTTTAGAGGTTTTTTTTGTTTTTTTTTTTTTTAGGAATCAAGCTTTTTCTTCATAACTTAAAGATTGTTAATGTTACACTTACTTAAAGCTGTTTTTTTTTTTAATTTTCTTTTAAAGCGGATAAATTTCATTCAACAAAGATCTCTTTCTGCCCCACCGTTATGTCGGACACTTTTTTGGGACTTTTGATATAAAATACCTTAACTTTTTGTTCTGTTATTTACTTTTTATGGTCAATAATAAAATATTTCGATTACATATTAAACACCCAATTTACCCAAATTGTACCTTTTTCATACCATATGCACTAACATTGTATGGAAGTTAAAATTCCAAGAAAAGTCTTTGCACAGTTTACACACATTGTTTGTGTATGACAAGTGTTTTAAATTAAAATCATCGATAGTAAAAATCGAATTTTTCCATTTTTAGTCAGGAAATCTTGTTATTTTTTTAAAGTTTACTACTATTTGTAATAGAAAATAAATAGAAACTAGAAAATAGTGTTTAGTTTAGCAATGGATAACTTCAAATGAAAAATAAATCTTTAAAAAGGAAAAAACTTTATAAATTACGAGTAAAAAATTTCAGTGTTTTTGTTTTGTAAATAAAGAAATTTGAAAAAAAAAAAAAAAAAAAAAAAAAAAAAATCAAATTAAAGACCACCGACTATATTTTTTTTTATTAATATACTACCCCCCAAAAAACAATCATTTTTCTTGACAGATGACAATATGTTCGGAAGCAAAAATGTTGTTAGAGAAACATGAAAGAAAAAAAAAAAAAACAACAAAAACTGATCGTTTAAAAGAAAAAAATAATAGCTCAAACTAGTAATTTAATAAAAAGTAAAGCCTTTAGTAAAAGTTAATTAAATTTAGTAACTAATTGATTTTTCTATTTAAATTTTAAAGAGAAAAACAAATTAGAAGCAGAATGTCATTTTAAAAATTTTATAGCAACGCTCAAGGTGGAAAAGGCAATTTTTATTTTTATTGTATTACATTCTTATCAACGATATTTATTTGTATTTTTGTATTGGATTTAAAGCTATATTTTTAAAAAATATTTAAAATGGGTAGATTTAATGAATTTATTCAAGTGAGTAAGGGTCGATGAAAAATTATGTGATCAAACTGAAAGTGTGAATGATTAGTGAAACTAGTAAGAAGCTGTAAACAGTGATTAAACAATCAACAACGTACTTATTGAAAACTTCATCGAGTTTCGATTTTCGTTCCTCGTAGGATATGTCTTCAAAATCTTCTAAATCACCAAGAAAGACTTCTTTATGAAACTTCTTATTCAAATGTCCGTCCTGTTCCATTTTGATGCCGTCCAAATGGTCAGGAGGCGCCAACCTGTCCACCGAATCAACCATTGGAATGTCCAAGGATTTTGCCATGGCAGCCTCAAAAGAGCTAAACATCAATACAACCACCAAACCACAACACAGAGAATCAATCATGTTCACACTGCTCAAACAAGAACGAATTATGCCAGTGTTCTTATTGTTACTATTGTTTTCAGTTGGCTTTCGTAGCTCTGATTTTTTCAACCATCTTGTCTCCATCATTGTCAACGATTTTTTTTTTTTTTTTAATCTAACAGATTTTTTTTGTACTGTTTAAATAAATATCTACGTAGAGAGCCTTTTAACGGACAGGAATATAGAAATGTTGCAACAGCTGATATTAATGTCCAGAGAAAAGTTTACTCAGCATATTTTTGTGTTTTCTGCAACGTGTCACTTTTGTAATAAAAGCTTTTATTAAATACCCAACAACTCCCTGACATGTTTTCCCAAAACCCCAGTTGAACTTCCGGTCTGTTTTGTTACAAACAACTCACACCGATTCAACAGTTAGTCAATGCACAGGGAAAAAATAGTGCACACTTTAAGACTATTATGAAATATCTTTAAGCAAAAATTGATCGAAGATAGAATAATATTCTAATTAATTGAATATTTTAAACTTTGTAAGCTTATACTTTATATTTCTATGGGATTAATGCTCTAACTTGTTGCCGATTGAGGGTCTACTGCGTATTGATAAGTTGTAGTAGTTACCCACATGAACAGCCGGTGGAAGTTTAGTCTTGAACAAAATGTCGGACGTTAAACAATCTCCTGCGTCAAATCGTACTTTTAGCAAAGTGGTTATTACTTTGGAAAATATTCTATTACCTGAAGATCGGCTATCGCCTACACCATCGATGCAAGATGGTTTGGCTTATGAAGTAGAGGTCGATCTCCGCATTATTGGATGTGAAATGATCCAAACTGCTGGGATTCTTCTGAAACTACCTCAGGTATGTTGACGCCATTTTGTATTTTAGCTGTCAAATGGAGAATGTATTCGCAAGCTTTGCGTTTCGATTTTCTTCATCTCCTCTTACTTAATTAATCCTATCTTTTACATTTCACAAAATCTCATGTTTTACTTGGTTTTTTGTATTTTGAAATAGGTTGCGATGGCGACAGGTCAAATGCTGTTCCAAAGATTTTACTACTCGAAGTCGTTTGTTAAACACAACATGGAGGTTAGTTGAGTAATTTCTGACTTTTTTCGTCTTTCTATTTAATTTTTACATTACTGTATCTTCTAAAAATGTTTGTGAAGTATGTCCTTAGATTTTAATGGATAAATAGTGTTTTGAGAGGCCATGCTATTCAATCTAACATAAACGGTAAAAATGTCTTTTCCAAAGATTTAAATTTTTTTTTTTTTATAGTTTAGACGAATATTTCGATTGGAAGCCATTTTGAATTATTCTCTTGGTTTTCAATTTTAGTTTTTCATATATTTAACATTTTTCATTATTTTCAATCATCACTGATCTGTAATTAGATCTTGTTTACACTTGATAACGTATAATTTTTTCGTTTGTCTCTTATTTATTTATTTATTTTTTTTGTAATCTAATTATTTAGATTCAAATTTCTTTCGCCCCCATTCTTGTTCATTTTTCCGTTAACACTTACCGTGAACATTTTTTTTTGTCCGCAACTTTAATTGATCCAATAAGACTGTGTATACTCAGTAAAACTTTCCCTATTTTAGAAATTTGGTGGGGGGGGGGCTTTTAGATTACGGTCAGTAATTCTGTACATGTTGAATTAGAAGCGATTTAAATGCTGTGATCGCATCTATTCTGGAGCCAACTCTGGCTTTTTTTTTTTAAAGAACAACAAAAATTTTATTTGAACATTTCTTCCATATTTTTATTTTTAAGATTACAGCCAAAAAACATCCTAAAATTACGTTAAAGCTCCAATTAAAAAGTAAAAAGAAACATTCTCGGGAGATTTTATTTAAAATATCTGATAATTATAATTTATACATCTGATTATATCCCATTTTTTAAGTGGATGATCTATTCTTGTCTATTAATCCTAAAATCTGGCAAAATCGAAAGATAAGTCATCCATTTCTTTTTTTTTTTTCTTTTTTTTACGTCTGTAATTTCTCTTTAATTCATAATTTTCTTTTGAATCGTAAAAGCTAAGACTAAAAACAAAATTAGTCAAATTTTAAATATTTCTGGAGGTATGTGATTAAGAAAAAAAAAGCTTAAGTGTAGTAAAGTGAGTCAAGAAGAGTTAAATTGCTGTGTCATTATTCAATATGGCTTCTTCATGGGATTGGTTGCTTATTTTCTTTCCATTTTTATCAAGACATCATTTTACCGAATCGAGTTCTTTTTGTTTCTATTTCCACTTTCTATAATTAATAATTTAATAAATGAAACATCTAAACTTTTAAAGTTACTTTTTTTAGTATGATTTCTTTGATTTCATTAAAAGATCACTTTCTAATGTATTTGGAATCTTTTTATTTTATAAACCTGTTTAATTGGGCGAGTTGTTCTGTTGATTATTGATTAGATTCTAAATTCTCTTCATAGAACAATCTTTGAAGCCTTTGTATTAGACTGGTATTAAGAATTTAAAATGTACTTCACAATGAACAGTAGTCGTAGGAAGTGTGTGGAATTGAACCATGAATCAGGTATGATTGCTATGTTGTTACAGGTAGTAGCAATGGCTTGTATGAACCTGGCATCGAAAATTGAGGAATGTCCTCGAAGGATTCGGGATACAATAAATGTCTTCCATCATATAAAGCAACTACGAAGTGGAAAGTAAGTATCATTTGATTTCCTTCAGCTAATCTGAAATTTCTCTTTCAGATCTGAAATATTGTCAGCTGAAATAAATAAAAAAAAAAAAAAAAAAATTCATTAAACTGTTTTGCGGGGTTTGAGACCGAGCCCCTCCACCCCCCTGTTTTTTTATGAGGCTTTTTTTTTTCTTAACAACCGATAGGGTTAGAAAAATAAACTTTTTTTTTTTTTTCTTTTAAGGAGTTTCAAGTGAAATATTAAACGACTTTTCGGTAACTCCACCGGCCGATCGTTCCTTCCACCAGTTTAATCACTCAATATTAGTGAAAGGGAAATCATCTTCTAATGACAGATTTTCACCCACAACAAATTGTCATTGAATCTCGGCAAATTTTTCGTTTTTTTTTTTTCTTTCTTTCTTTCTGTGTAGATTGGCATTTACTAGAAATTCTTCAAACCTGTCAGTCGGAAAATTATTTTTTATTTTTCTTGCGGGAGGAATAATAATAGGGCTACTGTCAAAAACGATCCCTGATTTTATTTTATTTAAACATGTCAAGTTGCTTACGTAATTGATGTGTACGACTGGTATTATTATTGGTGGGCCCTTTTTCGGAGGCACTTGTGAAAGAAAAAAGTGTGGCATAATAATAATGAACAATGGATATAGATACATTTATTAATCTAGGTACCTCCAAATAAAAACATTTTTTTTTTTTTTTTTTTTTAACATGCTAAAAAATTTCTTGAACCAGTTAGGTACCTCCACTAAAATCGCAATACCTAAGTAAATTTACTTATTTCCAGTAAGCAAAATAAGTTTCAAACAGAAATTATATTGATTGGAATCAATATTTTCATTTTTTTTTTCTTAATACAATGTCTTTGATATATTTATATATAAACTGAATTTTCAATACCTAAAGTTTAAAATGAATTTTTAAAAATAAAAAAGCATGAAGATTTCATTTTTAGCTTTAATTGAAAGCTAAATGATTAAATATACTATTTCCAGTAAGTAAAATATTCTGGTTTATTTAAAATAGAAATTATATAAATCGGAACATTTTGGCCGCTTTCAGAAAATCTTACAAACGGCCATTTTCTTAATTTTAAGAAATTTGTAAACAATTATCGGTTTTAAAAATCTTCCAAAAATAAAACACATTTGTTACATGTTATTAGAGTAAAATTAGCAAATTTAAAGTTAAATTAATCTGTTTTGAAATAAACATTATTGGTGGCATAAAAAGTAATATATGAGCATTTGTTAATGACGAGTCCTGTTTTTCTTATCTTTATTGAGGTTCTGAGGTGATGACAGCTAGTATAGATGACCAGAATGGACTTAAATTTACGAAATCTAAGTGAACGGTTTATATATATATATATATATATATATATATATATATATATATATATATATAAACAAATTAACATTTTCAGCAATTTAATATTTTGACTGTTACATTTCAAGATGCTTGTGAAATTTTGGTTTTGTTTCTAGGTTAAGTTTACTAACTTAAACAAAAGATTGAAGTATTACCTAAACTAAAATAAATGCATAAAATAAAAATATTTAGTGAAATAGTAATTTAAAATAGAACTTGCATTGAAATTTTGAAGTGATGATTTGCAAAGACGTTAATGATGAAACAGAATTCGATAATGAAATTGAAAGAATTGAAGAGTGCCAAATCACATGACCATTTAAGGGATAATATCATTTATGGCTTACCACTAAATATTTTTTAATCGTTTTAAAAATATTTGGGTACAAACAACTCTCATAAGCTTTTCAATTTTTGATTCATAAAATGTACTTTTCATTTAACAATATCACCAAATCGCCACTTTGAAGTAATGCAGAATTTTAAATGATTTTTTTCTTATAAATAATTTATAATTTTTAAAAAATGAAAACAATTTTGTTTATCAAAGCAAGTAAAAGCTTTTCTAATTCAATATCATAGTTTCTATTGCATTTCTTATTTTACAATTCAGAGTAGATCTTCTGTGAAAGGGGATTTTTACAAAAAAAAATTGATTTACATTCTCCAAGGACTCCTGCTTTTAACTAATAATGGTTTTATGATCAAAATTTAATTTTTTTTTTTTTCCTCTTCCTTTTTCAAATGAAAAATAATTTCATTTGTGAATAAGTCCTGAAAAAAATTTTTTTTTTTTTTGCTGGAAAAAGACCAATTTCACATAGTAATCTTTAGCCTACTGCTGACGAAAAAAAGATTTTTAACGAGAGCTTTGAACATGCTAGAAAGGATTAAAAAATTTAAATAATCAAAAAATATTTTTTTTCCTCTTAATAACAAACAAAACATTTTGATGATAAAAAGTTTTTCATCAACTTTGGTGCCTTTTTTGTCATCATACTGTGCTCTTTAACAAAAAAGACGAGGTATCTAATTAAATTCCAAGCTAATAGATTAAATTTGATATTACAAATAAGCAAAATATTGTATTTAAAAAAAAAAAAAAAATCTATAAATTCTTCCATATATATGATTGATCTTTCAACACAATTCTCTATTAAAGAATACTTTTCTGAAACTTTGAGGAAATTTAACTTTAAATTAAAACTAAAACAAGATTCAAGAAAGATTTAAATTTTTATAAACTCATTTTAAACCTTAAGTATCACATTTCTGTGGAGTACCTCCTTAAGTTAATCTGAATTGAAACAAATATGACTTAGTTTAGAATATCACAGAAAAGCATCTTTATCATGAAGTGGATGTTTGTGTTTATATATTTTAACTACCCAGTAATCTTAATTTAAAATATTTTACAAAATCTCATTGAATTTTAGTTACTTTGTGTATAAATAATCATACAAAGATGTTTGATTTCCAATAAATTTTTCTGTTGTTCAAAAGTTCTTATTGTCTGATAATGTATGTATATTTGTATTTTAAAAAATCAATGCACAAAAAATTAGTTTTAAAATACTGTTGGTTGAATTGTAGTGAGCTTTTCCATTATTAGTAAACAATTTTAATAATATATTACTTCAAATTAATACAGAAATTTGACTTAAATTCTCCAGGGACATGTACTTAAGCAAACAAACATTAAATAATACATAAGGAATTTCTCAATTTCATAAATTTAGTTGGGTGTAACAGATGTAAAATAAAATATTTTTACAGTTTCTAAATGTTTTTCAAAAATAATTTTATTCATTTCTGAATAAGTTGTAAAAGTTTCATTAAAATCCAATAATTATCTGGTTTTTGCAAGAATTTCCAAAATCAGTGTTTTTTTTTTTTTTTATGATAGATTCTTAAGATTTCACCTAAAAATTTAAGGTTCCCTGTTGATGCAATAAAAAAAAATTTACATGACAAATTCTTTGATCTTACCTGTTTGCATTTTCTTTTTCTTTTCTTTTTTTCCTCCTCTCTCACTCTCTCAATGAATTTTGGGCAATGCCTATATTTATCTATTGCTTGTTTAAAATGTTTTTAATGAAAATTGCATAGAAATGTATATCCTTTTTACTTAAATGTCTGAGATGCAGTATCTGACAGAAATTCCTTTCATATACCTTCCACATAATGGTAAGACAATAGCTAGATGGAAATAGTTGCCATTATCTTCCCATTATGTGGGAGGTGTTTCTGCCAATCCCTATATTTTCTTAAAATACCACTTCCAGACTTAACTATTTATAATTGGGTGAACCAGTAAAAAAGTTGTGCTGATATGAATGTATATAATAAAAAGTATTAATTACATAGTCTGGTCGATTTGACTTTATATTATGAACAGGTCACCCTTCTAAATAGGTATTTTTTTTTTTCTGACAAATTTCTTGCTTCTTGAGCAATGTCTAATGTAGTTACCTCTACTAATTTGCTGAAATAATTAGCCTGTGAATTTTTTTAAAAAGAAAATGGCCCAAACTTGATAGAAACTAAGTTTTATTGTCTTTCTTTAACAAGACAAAAGTATCTTTTGGTGTTGAGATATATAATTAATCATGAAAAGGTAATTATACAAATAATTAATTAGCAGTGTTTACCTGGAATGGATGGGGGAAAAAAATTATGCCCTGAGGGTGAAAATCTGACAATAATTTAAACAAGGATTGCGTTATTCAATGCATTATTAGTAAGTTAATGGCTTATTAAGCCAAGATATTTAGCCATTGATTACATTAAGATTATTAATTTTTGTATAATTACCTATATATATATATATATATATATATATAATATATATATATATATATATATATATTCTTGCAAAAATCTAATAGTTGCCCGATTTTCGGGATCTATTCACAAATGGATGAAATTATTTTGGATAACTTTTTTTTTTTTTTTTACCTCAATTTCAGAAACTCAAATAAAATTTTTAATGACTATTACTTAAAAGCAACTCTTTGGAGGCCTAGTCTTACTGAAAACCTCCTGAACCATAAAAACTATAAAGCTAAGACATTTAATTAGAAAAGCGTTCAATTGCTTTTATGGTTGATATACAATGGGCACTATTGTCTGTCTGTTTTTATTAGAATAATTTTTTATTTTTTTTTTCCTCTAAATATCTTAATTCAGTTTCAATGTTGTTACAGTTAGGGAATATTAAGTAAAACTATATTTACTAATTGTAAAATTTATTACAATTTACAAACCCTGTGTATTTTTAAAAAATAGTTGGTTTTGTATGTATATAAACATGCCAATTCTTGTAGATGACTATACATTATCAGAAAATAAACGATAGCTATAGTAAATTTAAAGCCGAAGTATCTAAAATTCAATAATACACTAGATTATGGGGAAGTAGTTTCCAAATTTTTAAGGTTACTGAGTGCTTAAAATTATCTATAAAAGGTGGTCAAATTTTATATATATATATATATATATATATATATATATATATATATATATATATATGAGATAAACTCTGGAACATTAGATAAACATCAAGCTTTCAATACAAGATTAAACAGCTACTGGTGTGTTAAGAAAATGCATTCCTGTGATAATTTAAAATTATAGTAAATGATGTTTGTAATCAGATAAATTGTACTTTAGATACTTTTATTCCTCAAAGTTTTAGAAAAGTTTTTTTTTTTTTTTTTACCTTTTTAATAAAGAGAATTACATGCTGATGTCAGGTAGTTAAAAATGGTGCTAAAATTATTAATTTCAGCAATTTCAAAACTAACTTCTGATCAATTTTGAAATACAACAAAGTATTGGAAATATTAAATTTAATTAGCTTGAAATTTAAACTAACATAAAAAAAGATAATTCATTTTAAATCTTAGATATTGCAAATCTGGAGGTACCTAGTCTGATGGGTGCTAAGCTACAAAAATTGTTTACCCCCATACCTCTTTATAAGCAAACAAGTTGATTTAAGTAGTTCCCAAAGTTTGACTAGAATATTAAGTATTTATGCTATTGACAAAATTTTATGAATTTAAAATACATCTTTTTCTAAACACTTAGGAATAATTTCCTTAATGCTTATGACTATTATCCTATAGATTTTGCACATCTTCTAGATTATATTTAGTGAATCATATCCATCCCTTTGGAGGATTGCTATCAGATGTTGGCTTTTCATGTAATTTGAAAGTAAAGATGATTTACATGGATAACGTGGCAGACCATCTATCAACATTGCTGGAATATAGAGTAAGTAACAGGGTCTAAACTTTTTATCATTAAGACTAATATTTAAAATTTAAATATTCTATCCTATATATTCTTGGACTTTCTACATCAATATACTTTTTCTATGGTATGTGAATTGATTTTGAGTGATCAGATGATTGGTCACTTTTCTCTTGCATGTTTTGAGTTTTTGTAATAGCTGAAAGTCTATATATAATTTGATTCCACTCGTAACAATTCTTAAACCTTTGCACTACTGTAAATCTGAATAACACATTGTAGTTTGGGAAATCTTTCACTTTGTAAAGTGAATCAACTTCGATGAATCTGACAAGTGCCTCTTCAGATAAATTGGTATATAATTGCAGTATTTGGATCTGTTATTGATTTTTATGGTATTAATATATGTATTGCTTTAACTTTGTGCAATAATTATGTACTAGAGATGAATCCATATTACAAAATTTTCTATTAGTGTTTGTGCACAATGTTGTACAAGGACAGAAAACCTGTCTATGATATTTGGTCATCAAATATGGAAATTTCTGTAGAACATGAAGCTTAGTGTTCAGTATGTTTCCAAATATTGCAGCAATATTGCACTCTGAGAAATATTTACTAAAGTATTTATTTTTAAAGATTCAATAGCTTATCTGAATTGAAAAATAGTAATTTGGGAAGATATTGACGTGACAATTGTTATTGTGACGCCAATATTGCAATGTTTTTAGACGCCTGTTCTTTAAATGAATTAGTTACTCATTGTATTGAGCATCTATTTTTATTAAATAAACTAGGTCTAGGTTAATGATAAATATATATTCTCTGTAGAAAAAGAATATATGCTCCTAATTATCACTTGAATTATTTTTTTAACTTCTCATAATATCAGCATCAGGTAGACTCTCACTGGAATATTTCTTCTATAATTATGTATTGAATGTATTTTTAAATCTATTTTTAGTAATGTTTAGCAGTTAACTAGGATTATTTGAGAATTATCAGATTAACTGACATTAAGTTTATTGTAATTCTTGAACTTCTGGTACTTTTTATTTCTTACTAGTGACAGAAATTCTTCAAGATTTCCTGTATAATCAATCATTAATTAAAAACTTTTGAATATGCTTTCCTTTTGACCATGAATTATTAAATGCTGTTATATAAACACACACACACACACACACACACACACACACACACACACACACACACACACACACTATATGCTTTTTTTTGAAATAACTGATCATTTTATTGCCTGTTAAGGTTGGAAAAAATTGTCATTTTCTGATTAGATTTTCTTTTTTGCTGCCTTGCACAGCTCTAAATGGAGTGGGAATGATGATACCTGGCTGTTCCTGTGTGGTCATGGGCTAGAATCGTCTCCTGATCCACTGGGCTTACCTGGCTCATGAACCACATCCTAGACACCGTGGTTTGTATCATACTGCTTATCTGGCAGAACAGAACTGTGATGTATTTCTTTCCAATTTTTTCCCCTCTTTTATAACTTTTTTTTTTTTTTTTTTCTTCAATTAAAATTTAAATCCCCCCCCACCATGTTGGAGAATCATTTTCCATTTAACTGATAATGTCTTACATATAACTTGTCAAAATTTGGAAAAGATGCTTTCACATTCAGATCTTTTTATCTGGGATATTTGTAGCAAGCACTAAAATATTCTAATTTGTAATGCCTTTGCGCTTTTAATGCTTCAAATATTTCAACTTTAACTTTTTAAATTTCTTAAACATCTTGAATTTGATTACATCTTTAATTTTGTATAGAATGTAATGTTTTCATTTTGTCTTTATAGTTATCACCCTTTTATGTGATTTGAACATAACTGAATTGAAATCACTGAATTCACTTCAAATTCTTTTGCTTCAATAGATTATTTTTAAAACAGTTGTTTAAACATAGCATTTTTAATGTTGAAGTTTTTCATTTAGAATGTTTCAGTTAAGTAATTAAATTAATGCTTATATTTCTGAATGCTGTATAATTTCTATTTTAAAAAATGTTTCAAATTGTTCATGTTATTTTTTTTTAAAGCTTAATTCTTCTTGAACTTTCTAGCACCACTGATAATTATGGCTGTTCAATGTATTATCACTATCATTAGCAATGGGTTTCATAAATATTAATAAGGTGCTCATTGTACCTACCTGTGTCCAGTTTTATCTGAAATTAAAAAAAAAAATCCTTATCTATATTTGAAAATGTAAAATATTTTTGCTCAATTCTGATACTATTTTTCAGAGGCCTGGTAAGTGATATAAATTGACTGATTGTTTTATGTATCTGTGTATACTAGTAGAATGAAATTAAATTCAGAACATTTTAATGATGGGGGGGTTGTTTTTCATGAAAACTGGATGAACTACTTGAAATGGAAATCAATTTCATATCAAACATTTCTCAGTCAGATTCAACTTCATTTTGTTACTATTTTTGCCTTTCCTAACTCGCTTGTCTGACAGGCATCAAAGGATAAAGTTGGTAATGTTTTAGTATATCCCCCTTACTTACTATCACTCTACAGTTTACAGTATTTAGGGACCAAGTATTACAAAGTTGGGTTGATAAAAAATGGGTAGGGGGCAAATTTTATCCTTTGTTTTTCCTATCACACATGGAGGTTTGTTTAAAATTTCATAAAATCCAAATTTTATGGATTACACTTTGTTTTTGTTTCCAAAAATATTATTTTAATTTCAAAGTGACAACTGATAATGTAGCATGTCTCTCGATTTTGTGGTGTTACTTTTCTTTAAGTTTTTCACTTAATTCTTATTTAGGATTGTAGAATTCTTTGTCCCAGAAAATCATTCATGTTAGATTAAGGTCTGAAGTATGAGGTATGAAAGCCTATCAAGCTAGACCAACTTGTCCAAAGGGTGGATATTCCAGCTAATAAAATTTATCTCCCCTTTATTTTCTTGTTTTAACATATTGTTACACTTTCTCACTAAGTATTATAATGAAGCCAGAACAAATCTATACTATACAGTGAAAGGGATTCCCTGAAACAGAAAATTGGTCCCTCTAATAATGCCATGTTGTTTACAGCCTAATTTATTTAATGAATGACTTGAATTTTGTTCATCATATACAATCTCAATTTGACAACTTTTATTCTTAATGTTTAACATTTCCTAGCCATTTTGATTTTTCTTTTTTTTTTTTTTTTTTTTTTTTTTTTTTTTAACACTATAATATTCTGTTCATTGGTGTTTAATTTAAACGTGATTTTAATTTCTGGTAATGTTTAATAACTTACTATCAAAACTAATGAAAACATGAAAATTTTCCTGTTAGGTATTAAACTTGTATCGTTCATTGTTATTTAGGGTTCATATATCAATATTTGCAAGTGTGTTTTTTACTGGATGCTCTGGAATGTTTTAATAGTGATTTTTCTGGTTGGCTAAGAACTTTATAGGTCTGATTTCTAAAGTTTTGTCAAATATTTTCTTAGACAATTTGTAACTTTGTCTATCTCCATCACTGCAGGAGTTATTTTCATGAAAACAGGGCTGTGATTTTTTTTTTTTTTTTTTTTTTTTTTTTTTTTTTTAACCTCTCAGCTTGGTTCTCTAGTTTATAAAGAGTTTTTTCTCTCTCTCTCTTCCTCCCTTCAAGAGAAAAAAAAACATTTTGTATCTTTTGAAGTTTTCATAGATTTGAAACAGCACTGTTCTAATTGTAGGTCGGTGATATGAATGGTTGTAGAAGCTCTGGGATAACTGAGCTGCAGGGCACCTGCAAGGCTGTCACTAGTTTGATCTTCACTGGATTCCCCATTAATATTAACAAGCACCCCCTGCCTCTTGTAGCCATGAAAATGGATTGTAATCAGAAAAAAAAAATCTTACAATATTCACTTAAAATTACAGTATGATTTTAATTTTCTTGTCACTTGGTATTTGGTAAAAAAAAAATTTTTTTAATGTTGATGTTTGGCCTCTTCATTTAGCTTAAAAATATTTTTTTGCAGTAATTTCTATTACAATTTGAAAGTCATTTGTTGTGGCTGTGTATATCTAAATACCATGTCTTAGAAATTTAGTTTTTATTTTACAGGTAAGAATCCTTGTTCTATAAAAGTGAAGCACGACCATTCAAAATTGATACTATAAAACATCTTAATTGAAATAAGAACTCATTGCAAACACTGTTTGTTGTAAGTTCTTATTTGAATTATGTTCTCAATGATTCACTTTTTTTCTTTGACACATTTCTGTAAACATTGATTTAATCTACACTGTCTGAAAATGTTATTTTGCTTGTTTGTTCCTCCACCCCACCCCCAATAGTGAGTAAAAGTACAAAATTCTGTTTTTAATGTAATCCCCACTTACAAATGATCACTTGCTGAAAATTCTAATTTTTCCAGAAATATTAAGCTGTTAATAAGATTAATTTTTACTTAATATTTAAGTAAAAATTGGAAAATAATACAAGTGCATATTAGTATATTTGGGTTTAATTGTTGCTTTAAATTGCAGTTTTCTATTTTCCAATCATTAAATCTTTGGAGCCTGTCTTTCTGTGACTGTTGCCACCAGTTTGGACATGGAGACCTTATTGGCTTTTTTTTTTTTTTTTTTTTTTTAAGTTGAAGCTCATTGTTAATGCATGAAGCATTTTGAATCGGCCTTGAGATGAGCTTTGGATGCTACCAAAAGCGGCCATGACACAATTACCTAACTCCTCCTTATAGCTGTCATGGGATTTCATTGAATTTTAAGAAATAATTTGTTCCAAGCAATTACAAATTCTTATCTACTTAAAGAAAAATTTGCTACTATAAATATCATTAATTCTAATAGTAAACAATGGAAGTAGGACACACACACACAATACCTGAAGTGAAACTTTCCTTCATCTTACAATGTATCCCATTTATATAACAATTATCATGGGAAATATCAAGATACTCATTTGACATGCAATGCTAACACCAAGAAAATCCACAACTGACAAAGGCTTGGGAACCGGTGGTTTAAAACTGAAAGAACAATTACTTTAGCAAAAAATTTGCATTCTAGCTTTTTATGCCTCTCCCCTTTGGCTTGATATAATGAATTCTAAATTTCAGATATGGGCTGTAAATTTCTCTTGCAGAATTTTACAGGTGATGAAAATAAGTAGTCTGCTTTTAAATTTAACTGCCCAGTCTGTAGCTTACGCCTTCCTTTTTTTTTTTTTTTTTAGTGAGAAAGAAATGCTTATTCCTCCCTCTCTCTTTTTCTCTCCCCCTCTCTCTTACATTTACCAGTTTTTAGCAGTTTAGATTCTTGAAGTAATAGTATTCTTTATCAAGTACTGAAATGGACTGCTGCATTGGTTTGGTCCCAGTTAAATGGTCAGATAAATGTTTTTTGTTTTTTTTTTTTTTTTTGTTATATTTATCTAGTTTATATCCTGGCCAAAATATTAATTGGTTAAAGTGACTCATTTGTCCATGATTTTAAATGAGATTCTGCTAAAACCCTTTGAGAATTTTTTAAATATTATGTAATTTTAATTTGTGCTTATTTCTGATTTTTATCTTCTCTTATACAGAACCCACATGACAGACTTTTGTTTGGATTTGAAGCATTGGATCATTTGCATTTTCTGATTACAAATACTAATGACCAGTTTTTGTTATCGGTGGTGCTAGAATGATAGGCTATGGCTTTTAATTTGATCACCCTGTGGTGTATCAGTTTTTTAAAGTTTTTTTTTTTTTTGCTACTTAACAGGGTTAAAGAAAAAAAGACAAAATCTATCTCCAAGGGTAATAGATCTGTTCACTGTGAAAGTACTCTTGTTGTTGTTGTTCACTACTACTGTTCTCTTGATAATTTGAAGCATGAAACTGTTTTTTCTTATCTTGATTTTTTTTTTTTTTTTCTTTTTCTTTTTCTTTTTTTTTTTTTTTTTTTTTTATCAGTTAAATGGATTTTGATTCTTATCTTCACAGTTCTCTAGTTTGGATGCCGTGCAAGGCAGCTTTGAGTTATGAGCAATGCAGTTTAGCAACACATCCGCAGAAAGTGGTTTTCTTATCTTTTCAGGACTATTCATTCTATGGTGCTTGACCAAAATTATATAAACTTAAAGAATCAAGTTATCAAAGCTGAACGACGAGTATTAAAGGAACTAGGATTTTGTGTGCATTTCAAGTATCCGCACAAGGTAGGTTAATGGCAATTTTTTTTATTTTTTCATGTGATCCCCGTTTAAGACTTAATCACTTAACTGGTTGGCTCAGTGTTTCCAGCATACATTACGAGAGTCCTTAAAATCAAGTATTTAACACCCCCCCCCCAAAAAAAAACTGGACTTGCACGAAATCTGCAGATTAAAGAATAAAATTTGATTACTTTTTTCTTTTTTTTCTTTTTTTTTTCTTTTTAAATAAACAAAACTTAATTGTCAAGTTTGAAATTTCAAATATTACTCTTTTGTTTAATATTCAAGCTTGTAATATTCTATTTTCAGATGATTGTCATGTACCTACAAGTGTTGGAGTGTGAACGCAATCAAAAGCTTGTGCAGTGTGCCTGGTAAGTTTCTTATTTTGTATTACTATAATGGAACATTTTAATTGAGCATAACTTTCATTTATGCTAAATGACTTATAAAAATGTTGATTTGATTTTTCCATTATTTTTAATCCCCTCTGGCATCTTCCATTTTTATTAAAATTGCAATATGTAGCTATTTCAACAGCTTAGTAAATAAATAACTTGTATGAATGTTGTTCCTCTGAAAACATCTAGTTTAGAAAAATCTTGGTCTGACTTTTCTGCATTAATACAAAACCTGTACATAGTCTCTTGATAAAATGAAAGCGTCATTTTTTGTGTGTGTGGCATTTCTTTTTAAATGTTTAATGTGATTCCTCTTCCAGTTGTTTGGATGAGTTTGCATTTTATTTTTAGCAGGTTAATTTTTTTTTTTTTTTTTTGTTTGTTTAATTAAAATGATAAACTTTGATCTTAGTTTGTGCCTGCTTATTTTTCCTTGACAATTTATTGACAGGCTCCCATTTAAATTTGTTCCTCCTACTCTACACTTTTTATATTACTATTAATCCCTTCTCATGTAATAAAAAAAAAAAATTATCTTTGAATTTAAGTGACATTGATTGCTTTATACCCAACACAAGCATAAAACACTTTCAGGTTCAGGGATGAATTAAATGTTAGCTTTTTTAAAAAAAAAAATTGAGACTGGATATTTAGCAGCATATTTTAATATTGATTTTCTTTTTTATCTGCCCAGCTGAAATGGGCAGAACTTGCTATGAGCCATCCTAAAAGACTCGGACTTCTGCCTACCACTGCTTGAGAATTCTCAGGAAGTGTTGAAATCCAACGAATGGTACTACTACTACTACTACTTACCACAACCACCACCATCATCATCATCATCATCATCAGTCATAATGACTGTCAGCGATACCAGCCTTCAGGTCTTCATCAAGACTGCCAGGGATCCCACCAGTTTCTCCTGTTGTTGCTATTACTACTTGTTCAAGCAGTGATGATACAGGATTATTTTGTGCTATTTATGGCTTCTTGTTGACTCATTCAGCCCGTACACTATTATTGCCTGCTGAAGGCTTCCCCTCTTAAGCTCCATCTGCTTCATGCTAGTTTTCACATGTAAGAAAAAAATTGATATTGTGACCTATAGTTTTTAAAAATATGAACAAATTAAAGAGTATTATATCTTGTTCAGTAAAAGTTGATAATTTTCACCCTAATTTAAAACATTCTTGGTACAGCATACAATTTTAAGTATTTTAACTATGTAACAAATTTTTATTTCATTTGTTTTGTATTTGTTGAAATGAAATCTTGAATATTCTGTTTTTATAATTTCTAAATATTGTAGATTATCTGAAAATTAGCATGAAATTACCCTCTGCTATAGTTGTTTGGTTCATTTTAGCTAGAAACCTAATAAGTGGGCTGGATGTGTTAGCATGTTAAATTTTGTGTGTTATGTGCAGCATGCTGTGAATAAGCAATTTGTGAGCAAATATTTAACTTCCCTGAACTTGAAGTGTTTCGTAACTTTCAAGAATTCCTAGAGTAATATTTAATTTTAAAGTTATACAACTCCTATTGCACCTTCCTCACACAAATACATATATAACATATCCCCAAATTACACTTGACCTGTTGATTATTCACTCTTCCTGTTTTGCACAATTCATTGTCCACTGGTCAGTCACTCAAATCACATCACCCTATTTAGACCATCATTTTCCTTTTATCTGCAAAGTTCTCGGTTGCTTCCAAATTTTCTCTTCTGATAGTTTAACCGAGAAGGGAAGAAACCTATCATCACACTTTATTTATTTTTTTTCTCTCTCTCTCTCTCTCTCTCTAATTTAAAATATTTTAGCATAGCCTTGTTCTTTTAGTGCTGTTCTGCAGATTTTTGGTAATAAA